GATGACCTTAACTTTTTTATCGTCAACTTCCCTTACTTATGCAGCAATATAGCTTTCTAATCTGCATACGTCGTTTGTATATCTCAGTTGATTCGATACGCAAGAGCATGCTCCACGTATGAACAATTTCAAAAATAGGTAAATTATTGACAACTTTGATGAAACAAAGATATCAGTAGTCTCATTTAAAGTCATCATTTTGTACATTTAAGTTCTTTGGTCGATACAATGACCTTGTCAGCAAATACAATTTATCATCGAGTCTCACTGACGTTTTTCATACTAATTTTTAGTCCATTATTTATACACTGAATTGACGACGGATTTTTCCGTTATTTCCTGATCATGACAAGACAGGTGTGAGCGGTCAGCAGTGGATGATCACTGCTCCATGGTACCTGATCCCACCTCTGATGTTTTGTAGGTCCGTGTATGCTCTGTTCCTATTATGTATTGATTTTTGGACTTTGATATTTAATACAGTTCGTTATCTCCGTATCCTTCATTCTTCCATTCATAAGCATGGCAAAATGCAAAATGCGATAAACTTTAGACACAGTATAACATAAATATAAACGCTTATATTTCCATTTTTTTCATCTCTGTGATAACATTAAAAATTACGTGCGTTGATTTCTTGATAGCTCTACTGGAATGTAAATTTCACCAAGTGAAAGGTCAGGAGCAGAGAAGGCCTAAAATACATGTAAATTTCGTGCGTCTGTCTTTGTGCCTGAGGTCTTATATAAATGTAAATCTAGTGCTGCTGTCTTTGTGTCTGACGTCAGTCAATTACAATTTTTTTTTAAAAATGAATTATAAAAATAAGGAATCACAATCTTCTGTGTTGGTCAATGATAGTTGGAAATGAGGAAAATTTATCATATTGGAATTCGCCCAGGCATACCCAACAACTAGACAGCGATTTTTGAAGTATAATGATATTCAATCCATCATCTAGTAGGTATGATAAGAATTGGCACTTTGTGTAATATTATGCTCATTCAGTACCCCCTCCACAAAACGATTAAATTTACACCTTAACCTTACCTACCCCAACATCTTAATTTACATCTTAACCACCTCATCCACCTACCCCCACCACCCACACACACCCAGAAACAATAAAATTTTCAGAGAAGTAATTATGCGATATGTTAATGAATCTTAATAAATGTCAAAAGGAATTCAGAATCTGAAAAATCTATTGAAATCAAAGATCTTTCTGAATTTGAAACGCTATTTCTGGCGATTTGAAAAAGTTGTGTATTGTATCAGTTGTTGTTCAGTTTTCCCCTTTCATTTCAATGCTATCTTCATGAAATAAACTTCCTGGTATTTGATTATGTATGATTTGAAAAATATCAAAACGAAAGAGGCAAAACTCGATATTTTGTTGAGATAAAAAATTGTCATACAAACCGTATCCTGTAGAAATATCCATGCTAACGAATTGGACAAGTAAACATTTGATAAAAATATGCATCTTGTAAGCTTTTCCGGTTTTAACGTATATTAGTCATGTACATTCATGGAGATCCATAATGATTATGTTTTTAGGTTAGTTTTTCAAGATAAAAAAGACATTTAAATTTTGATAAAAAAAATTTTTGCCAGACTTTAAATCGCTTAGTTTTACTGTGGGAAGGAATAGGCGTAGATATCGTTAGTTTCAATTTTGAATTGTATGACTGCAAATCGACCATCTAGAATAGGAAGCAAAGAGGTACAAATCACTGTTGTCGTTTATGATAATTTTTTCTCAATTTACAATTGTTCTTGAAAAAAAAAATGCAAGAGAAATAAAGACAAAATGTTTACCATTTACATTTATCCGTTTTTTTTCCTTTGGAGAAGAGTTATATAATCATTATCCTTGTTACGATTGTAGCAATTTTATATACGACTTACGACTTTTCAATTCTACACACATTGTCAACCATTCCCTACGATGAATTAAAGACTAGGATTTTTTTTTATTATTAACGTTTGCTTTTTCAATAAGAATGGAACTCGTAAATTAACTTACCTGGTCAACTGTCATTTACAAAATGATTTTGTTTAAAATGCATTCTGTTTGTACACACAGGTCCTTTGACTGATTGATTGATTGTATATTGTTGAACGTCCCTCTCGAGAATTTTTCACTCATATGGAGACGTAACTGTATGTCAGTGAAGGGCTTCAAATTTTGACCTTTACTCGGCATTCAGGGCCATTGAGCAGTGGGGGATCTTTATCGTTCCAACGCCTGGCGCTGACACGGGACCTTGGTTTCTAGGGTTTCATCCGAAGGACCCACAACTTTCACTTCAAAGTTCCGAGCGCTGGCGAAAGAACAGTTGCTACCCATTTTTTATCGACTTAGGTCTGTCGCTGCCGAGATTTAAACTCACGACCTACTGATCACACAGCCTAGCCCTCTACCGACTGAGCTACTGTGAACGGTCTCAAGTCCTTTGAAGTTGACATCAAAAAGATTGATTGATTGTATATTGTTTAACGTCTCTCTCGAGAATTTTTCACTCCTATAGAGACGCCACCGTATGCCGGTGAAGGGCTTCAAATTTTGACATTTACTCGGCACTCATTGCCATTGAGCAATGAGGAATCTTTATCGTGCCAATGCCTGTCGCTGAGACGGGGCCTCGGTTTTTAAGGTCTCATCCGAAGGACCCCCAACTTTCACTTCAAACTGCCCAGTGCATGGCGAAGGAAAAGTAACTACCCATTTTTTATCGACTTAGGTCAGTTGCGGCCGAGATTCAAACTCATGACCTGCCAATCAAAGAGGTAGCTCTCTACCGACTGAGCAACCGTTAACGGTCACAAGTCCTTTGAAGTTGACATCAAAAAGAGGCTTGAGTTTCTGATTGACCATATATCTATGTCGTTTTAGGGACCATGTCTTCCTGCAATCAATTGGAATTCCCATGGGTACCAATTGCCCTCCGTTATAAGCAGACCTATTTTTGTATTCATATAAAGCAGAATTTATTCAAAATCTTGCGTGTAATGAAGAAAACACTTGTGGCCTTCAAATCGACATTTAGATATATCGACGACGTATTGTCAATTAACAGTGATGATTTCCATTCCTATGTCGATATCGGAGCACACGACGGGTGTGACCGGTCAGCAGGGGATGCTCACTTCGTCATGGCACCGATGTTTTAGAGGTTCGTGTTTGCTTTGCTCCTATTTCGGATTGTTTAATGGATTTTTGATCTTGTATACTGTTCGTTATCTCCATAGCTTTTATATAAAAATTTTTCTTTTCCAGTATTTCACGTTGAAAAACTGAGTTATTTAGTAGAATAAAGATTTTTCACCTTGAAATATTCCAAACATTTTACGTCGACTAATATACTCAAACAATAATTTTTTTGGAAGGCGATAATTATTGCTGGTTCATTTACTCTGCTGTTTTAAACAGCCTTTTTATACAACTGGGTGTATTTTTGTAAAAAGGAAAGAACATTTCGATTTGTTTCGCACTTTTGATTTTTCATAGTATGAAAAAAACCGCTTTTATTCCATTAATGCCTGTGTATATGTTGAATATGTTGAAAATGTAATAAATCGAAATTCGTCTCAAGAACAGGGAAGTTAAGACCAGTCATTAAAATATTGAACTAAACACTTATTACATGTAAAATCAAGGTTACCAAACGTAGGGTGGGGCTACACTTGTTCTAGAGGATTAATGTTCAACATGAAAACCTAAAAAAATCGTTTTTTAATCTTCTTAAGAATAGTAGGTTATAATTTATCAAGATACATTATTTTCCATATGAATTTTGACTACTGCTTGTCAGATCATTTTATTTAAAAAATGCACCTTCACCATATACTCAATGTCTTATCTATAAAGTATTTCCACAATGATTGTCATGAAAAACAAATACTAGTACTAGTAAACCCAAGACCATAGACTGAAAACAGACTTAAGTAAAAAATTTAAATCAATATAACCTTTGAAATAATTTATATGATGAAACAAAATTACCATCATATGTATGAATTTAAATGTTATACCAAATTGCAAATTTTTATGCTGATATGTTAAAGAAAAGTGAAGATTTTTAAAATGAAAATTTTGACTTAAGTCTCTTCTCAGTTTATGGTCTTGGGGCCAGATGTCTTTGTTATGATGCAAAGATCGCTTAACTGGAAGACTGAAATAAAAAATGTTGACAAAGCTTTACATATGCCACAAATTTTTCACATCAATTTAATCAGTGATAATTTAGAAATAATCATTCGACATAAAATTCTAATTGAAAGTAAGTACAGTTATTACTTGTATTCAGGAGGTACTTATATTCCAATCACTGCTAGTAATTATTTTTTCTACTTCTCTATACAATAAAGGAACATCCACATAAATAAAATATCAATCTTTTAGTCAGAGCAAAATTCTGTTTATTTGGACTTGGTAATTATTCTTAATCTTTGTCGTCATCTCAATTTTAGCATTTTGTTACAGATGATGACTTAACAGAGGACCACAAGTACAAAGTTTGTGTTTTAATAAAAATCATTGTCATGAGTTGTAATAACGGGAATTCTTGCTATTGAACTTCCGGATTTTAGATGCATTTCCACGTGAGCTAAGTATGGGTTGTAGGTTCCGAATACAGGCCACGGGGCTTCCGTAAAGTCTAAGTTCCGGAAAGTGAAAGTACTTGTTTAAGAAGAACGTCCTTTTGTGGCGCAATTTGTGGCAAGTATTATATCTGTTAAAACAGCACAAAGATCTATATATTTCAAGGTTGCTCAGTTTGGTTTTGGGAGGCACCAGGTTTGATTCACCAGAGACTGTTCCTTCGCCAAACCAAGCACTCGAATTGGAATGTACTGGACACAGTTTTAGGCTTCTAGATTTTCTTCCATTTAAAACCAGTTAATATGTGTTTAACTTGCTATTGCTAATAAATATATATTTTTGCTATAAAGAGCTTGTTCTGGTGTCATTGAGCGAGATATTACGATAAACTTCAGGGGCCTCTATTGTTCGAGTGGAAAAGCAGATCCTCGTATGTATGATTTTCAAGATGGCCGCCAGATGTTGAACTTTGTTGAGAACGCCCTATGTCGCTGACCTCGTAGGAAGGCTGGTCATTTTCTTTCTTGTTCTCTTTCTTCCTACAGCGAGTAACATTTTTCTTCCTACAATGAATAATGTCTTCGTTTTACTTTCTATAATAATTTTTTTAACTTTAATAATTTAAAAACAAATAAAAAAAAACATTCGTATCTTTTTAAATATTTTTTTACAATATGCCTAAATAAATACGTATAAAACATGCAAAAGGAAATAAGCAGTGATTTTATTATAGACTAAACTTGATGATGAAATATTTCATATGGAATGTAAAAGCTGGAGAAAACGAAATGTCCCTTTCAATAAGTGTACTCTGGCTTATCATTTTATTTTACTGCCTTTTTTAAAAAAAATGAAACATTTTAATTGATGTCAAATTGCTATATACTAAAATTGTTGCTTATATCTATTTGCAACCGCCAACCTCACAATTTTAATGATTTAAAGTGCAAAGGCTGGCTTAATTTTCATTTGATATAGTTTAAATATACCAATTATTGCAAAAACTGTATACGTTGCCATATTATTTAAAATGGGAGACATAGATAAACAGAAGTATATGACAACATAAAAAATATACATTTATGTTAACAGTATTACAAGAATTATGTAAAAACTGGTTCAAATGCATAATTCTGATGCTGAAAGTTCCGAAATACTTGCTACTTATCAAAAACTTTTGAATTGTGAATATCAGGGAAATTATTTAACGTTAGAAGTTTAATAAAGAAAATACCTGAATGAAGATACCTGAGAAGAAGTAATTGCCCTTGGCAACATTTTCTAAAGATTGTATAATTGATTTACTGAGTGCTAAAGAAAATATACATTTTTTAAATACTTTTAATAAGCAATACTTTTCATTACATTTGTTGGAAAGCATTCTTCCAAAAAAATTGTTCTATTAGGTATGAATTTAAATTCAAATCTATTTTTGCAAGAATAATTTGATGGCATGTAAACTGAAATACAAACGCTTCCACTTCACGCCTAAATGAAACCATAATATAGTAAACTATTCCTAAATATCACCATACCTATCATTCTTTATATAATTTTTTACAAAATAATTGCTTTTCAAATTTTGAAGCTAGATAAATTCAAGTACAGGGGGTACAATGTGACAATCTGACGATAATTGGATCGTCCATGTGATATATCATTATGGGGCTTCACGGGATTTGATCACATGACCAAGCAAGTATATTCCACATGGAAATACTCCTCTAGACTCCAGTGGTACAAATAAGCATACCTGATGAAGTAAAGCACTACTAGAAAGCAAAATCCAACATTGATCAATAGGGAAATAACCAAACCCGCCGTCAATCCTGCAAAGTTGTTTCTTTGGTCACCGCAAAGGCTTTTCAAATCTACCATGTAAATAAAAAAAAGAAATAACGTAAAAAAAGTAAATTTTAATATCAGTTACAAGAGGGGAAACATCTCTATTTCTTTTTGGGGGACAATTTAATCATAATACACTTTCAGAAACATTGTTAGAGTATAAAAAATGTTTTTTGAAATACCAAATAAAAATTGATCCTGACATTCCATAAAAAGAACCAGTTATTTTTCGTATTTAGCTAATTAGCTATTGCCTGTTAAAATATACATTTGTCTGACTAACATTGAACTATCTACAATGATGTACTATGATACCCATACCAACAACGCTTTGTTCATGGCAGCGATTTCCTTGAAAGCCATCACGGCAACCCCGAGGACAATAGCCATTGACATTGTAGCATGTATCGTTGTTATAACAGTTTCCACTACAGTTCTGTTCACAGTCTTCTCCATACGTGCCAGTTTGACATACTGAAAAGGCGTGCTAAATAATGAACACGCACGTGATTATTGTCTCTGTACGTACAATGCAAGTTCTTAGAAATAATATTCCATTGCTCATTGTTTGGTCCTTTTTTATTTTGTTGATATATTCTACAGTGAAACCATGAATATTTTCCTCTTACCCTCTTAGATGTTTTCGTCGCTCAAGTCATCTTGAACACTTTGTATTTATGCACAGATATATTTCTGCAAACTTAATTGCTTGAATGCATACATGTTTTATAAATGAAAATGTAAAATTTGAAAGAATTATGGAAGAGAAATACATATTGATTTTTAATTGTAAAACTATGTTCATATATTTAAAAATTAATTCCCCCTCTTTTATTGGACAATAATTACTGTAATGATGTCATGACATACACAATGAGTCTATTAAGAGCAGTAATTTCTCAAAAGCTACAATGGTTGGTTTTGTTGTAATTCAATATTCATACAGATCTTACTTTCATTGCAATCGTGTCCCATCCATCCAGATAGACACCCCTCACACTGACCAGTCACGTGATTACAAGAAGTATTATTTCCACAACGGTCTGTACATGTGTTTTTGCATTCGGCTCCATATTTTCCAGCTGGACAAGCTAATAACATGAATTTTGCATTTAATAATTCAGCCTGTTAAGATAATATGAATATAAGGTTTGGCATAAATAATAATCTGTGAAGATTCTCATTTTTCCTCACTTATGTGCGCATAATATAATTTTTAAAGATAAAATTTAATCATTATTATTTGTATTTGTTGGAAAATTATTTTTAGCACATGTATGTACATTGATACAATGAACAGATGTTGTTCTCAGTATCATTAGTCAAGTGTTCGCAATTTGTGTTTTATCCTCATAATTATGCACTTAGACGAAGTGTTTCGAGATTTAAATATCCCTGTCTGAAAAGCTTTATTTTTCTTTTTAAATAAAAATAATTTCTTGTAGGACAATATGGAGAGAATCTTTAAAGCTAGGTGAGGACTACTTGAAATTTGATTTAATTACGGATTATTTTTGTTTACAACTTTGCACTTTGAACTCTCTATATCCCTCTCTCCATAGTAAAGGGGTTTATAAAATGATAAAAATAGACTATAATGAATTGCCTTAAATGGAATGAGTTTCTGAATCTTACCATTAAGACACTTTTCCCCAGTCCAACCGTCTTTACATCCAGCACAAGTTCCAATAGTTATGTAACATCTTCTCTCTTGACAGTTGGTAGGGCAGGTTTCATTACAGTTACTTCCATAAACGCCATCCTCTTCACAACCTTTGAAACGTATGTATGTCTTTCAAAGTGTCTCGTCTTTAAGAGTTATACTAATTATAATCTTATTTTTGAATAAATTTAAAAATTTGAAAGGGTATATTTCAATTGCAATCTGTGAATGAAATAAAACACCTTGTACTATAATTTCACACAGCTGTATGTATGTGTCTTTTGGATTGACCCCTTTTGGATACGTCTCACCAGGAACTCCTCTTTCGTTGTAGAAAATTACATACCGAGCAAAAGAAACACATACATGAGTAACATTGAGTTCGGGTAACTCCGGCCCTGTATGACTGTAACAGAGGTAAGCCTCGTGTAAAAGACGGAAGTCCGTACTGTTGGAGATGTAGAGTTTGTATCCATACATACGCTCTCTCTGTCGTTGTTCTATATCATAAAAAAAAATAAAAGAAAGTTTCGCATGCAATATATTTGAAATTTATTTTAATGAACTACTATCGGGTACTTTTTGTGCTTATTTATTTGCAGACCCGTTTTCAAATTTATATGAAGCGGAGTTTATTCAAAAACTTAATATTCATTAAAAGAAAGAACTCTGTTTTCATGTCCTAACTTAGTGTGCATGTATAAACACGAGCTCTGAAGACGATCAATTCTTTCTAAAACGATATCGATATTGATACCGTGATTCATTTAACTTTATTTTAGTCTACTTCCCATACTAATGCAGCAATATTCGTTCATAACCTGTACATGAGGTTGATATCTTTCAGTAGATATGATTCGCAAGAGCATGCTCTACCTAAGAACTTGTTTAAGTTATTGATTGAATGATTGTTGTTTAACGTCCATCTCGACAATTTTTCACTCATATGGAGATGCCATCACTTGCTGGCGGAGGGCTACAGTATTTTCCTATATATCGGCATTTAGGACCATTGAGCTGTGACGGATCCTTTTCGAGCCAGCACGTACGTGCACCTATCGCAACACGACAACCCAACTTATACGATCTAATCCGAAGGACTGGTCTCTATGTCAAAGAATGGGATTTGAACGTTATGATCAACTCCTGACTATAAAGCAGACGCTCTAACCACTGCGCCACGCGGGTGACGTTAATGTAGTGAAGACCAAGTTGATTGAATCATAATATTAATAATTTCGTTTAAAGTCATCATTTAGTAAGTTCTATGGTCAATATAATGACATTGTCAGCAAAAACAAATCATCATTAATTCATATTCTAACTGACGTTTTTCATATCAATTATCAGACCTTGATTTACATATCTGTTTACATATTTCTGTTTATATTCCCGATCATGACAAAAAGCACACGGCGGATGCTCACTCCACCATGGCATCTGATCCCAATTTGGATGTTTTAGAGGTCGGTGTTTGCTCTGATAATGATTTTTTTTGTTTTTTCGCAAAAAAGAACGAAAAAGAATTTTTTATCTCCTTGAGGATATATGTGACAGTGACAGCAAAAAAGGGGCTAAATCAAATGCGGCACACGTCTTATAAGAAATCGGCGATATTTCTGAACGTTTGCGTCATTTGCAATGGAAAAAAATACGCCAGAAAAAAAAATTATGCAGTACACATGCGTATTTTAGAGTGTTTATCATAAAAGTGAAATACATATTTGTAATAATGCATTGTTGTTATGTTTTACAACATATTTTATTTCGGTATTCTATTTTTTAATTTGAATTAACTGCGGTTTTTAAAGAGCAATAACTCTGACCATAAAGTAGACGTGTTTCTATTTCCAGTTGAGTAAACTGTTTGAAAATGTAAGGCGTTCAAGTACTAAAAATGAGCCAAGGCTCCACAGCAACATCAGAAGTACTTTATCATAATGATGAATTTTTAGAAGATATAGAACGTTTGGATGAATTTTATTTCTTTAAACTTGTTCCATGTTTCAAGTTGTTGCTCTCAAAGTCTAACGTGTGCGAGGGCAGACAATTTTGTGATATGTCAAGTGACAGCAAGACAAATACAAGTGATCTTGGTAATTTAAACTATGATTCTGACTCTGAAAGTGACAATGACAACAATGATGGAGATGTTTATGTACCGAATGAAGATAATAACACCGACACGAAGGAATACGTAATCCGTTCCAAATTTCAAAATGACACTTGAGTGTAAGGGGGTTTATCAAACTTCTGTAAAAATTTTTCCTATATAAAGTTCAGAAGGTAAAATGGCTATTTTTTGTGTTCTGAAAATTTCCACACATAGAAAGCTATACCCCGGGGTATAGTTTTTGCTATCCACCTTTGGAATATTTTTATGCAATTTTTGCCGCCAATTTTGATTTCCAGCGATAAATCAATAGACTCAAAATTTATAATACTACATCTGTATAATAAAACGCTTATCCATTGGTTGTGAGTGGGATAATTCTTTCATCAAACCCTTGACAGACACTTTTTACCTCGGGCAAGCCCTCGGGGAATAGTTCTTGTCGCGGGTTTGATAGAAGAGCTATCCCACTCACAACCAGTGGATAGGTGTATGTTATGAAATGCCACGTAGCACGAAAATTGACTTTGGTGCAGCATGTGAATTTTGTGATCATTGTCTGCTATTTATTCGGGGGAACTTGACACTTTATTCAAAGTTGAAATGTTCGCAATCAGACGATCTGGTTCTGTCACACAATAAATCAAAGTTGAAATGTTAGCAAAAAGACGATCTGGTTCTGTCACAGAATAAAAGAAACAGAAGAAAAAACGGGAAAGACTATTTCAGGAGTACTACTTCAATGGATGCAGAGTGTGTTGAATGGTATTTTGTTTTGAGCATGTTGTTGAAAGAAAAAAACTCCATAAAATCGCCAGATCTCTAGATACAGAAGGGTTTTTATCCAGAACACATGGAAACTGTGGTAAGTCTCCGCATAATAGCTTAATTGTGACAGACAGGGAACGGATCAAAACGTTTCTGACGAAGTATGCTAGTGACCAGGCCCTGCCTTTACCAGGCCGACTGCCAAATTACAAATCAGAAAAAAAAGTGTTTCTGCTTCCATCTATACGACATCTGCTGGCATGCTAACTAGAAATTAAAGCTGAAGAAATGAACTTCAGAAGAATACATCAAAGGTTACTTCAAATAACTTGGCATGAGTTGTGCCCATTCATAACAATCATGAAATGATGATAAAAAGGAAGAATTCTTTTCAAACACGCAGCATCAATGTTCGCACTACAGACATCAGTGTACCACCAGCAGGGAAGCATTTGTGTCCTTAGCAGAGGAATGGAAACATACTGGTAAGTTAAAATTTTATTGCATTTTATTTCCTTTAAGGCATAGCTCAATGGCTAGAACACCTGACCAGGGTTCAAGGATTCAATTCAAGTTGTGTATTTCCTCATCTTTTGTTTTCCTGTTTAAAGGAATCAAAAGAGAGAGAAAGGAAACAGATATACCCGAGTGTTACAAAACAAAATACATTTCTTCTGTGAAATTAAATTTCTTTCTCTCATGAAATTGTAAAGACTATGTATAGCTATCAATGCATACAAACGATCATGCATGATTTATTTTGTTCAAGGGAATGCTCTATGCTCAGTTGATATGGAAAGGCACTATTCCTGGGACTATGCACAACAAGTGCATCTTTTCATTTTACCCAACAGGTAATAAACATATTTTTCAAGACGTCATGGAAATGCAATGTGTTGGTGTCTCTTGTTAGGGTTCAGGGTTGTTAATTCATGAATCATTATATATTGCTTCGGAAATTCATTCAGAAAAAACTGTTCATAAAATGAGATTTATAAGAAATTGGGAACTAAATTTGCAATCAAATATAGAAAAATATGAGACTGATTCTGAATAAAACAGTTTTTGTTTCTATAAATTCTATAAAATAGAGTTGAGGCAAAATACTAACACATTCTGTTTTGTCATAATGCATTAATACAAGGTAATTTAAAATATATTATATGAATTGCTTTTATTTCTTACCATAATTGGTACCAGACTTTACAAAAATCAACAGCATAAAAACTTACGACTTTTCAACTTTATACACAACAATTCCCCACGACAAATTAAAATCCAGGCTTTTTGATATCATTGACAGCTGCTACTTCAACAAAAATGGAACTCGTAAGTTTACTTACCTCGTCATTGGTCATTTGAAAAATTATTTTGTTAAAACAGATTCTGATTGCACACATAAGTACTCTGAAGTTGACATCAAGAAAATGCTTGAGTTTCTGATTGACAATATCTATGTGGTGTTTGGAGACCAGGTATTCCAACAATCTATTGGAATTCCAATGGGTACAAATTGCGCTCCGTTATTAGCAGACTTATATTTATATTCATATGAAGCAGAATTTATGCAAAATCTTTTACGTGAAAAGAAGAAAACACTTGCTGTGGCCTTCAACTCCACATTTAGATATATCGACGACGTATTGTCAATTAATAATGATAATTTCCATTCCTACGTCGAAACGATATATCCTGGTGAGCTTGAGATAAAAGATACCACAGAGTCCGACACTTCTGCTTCATACTTGGATATTTTACTTGAAAAAGACACTAATGGTAATCTAACAACCAAGCTATATGATAAACGTGATGACTTTAACTTTTCTATCGTCAACTTCCCTTACTTATGCAGCAATATACCTTCATCACCTGCATACGGAGTATTTATATCTCAGTTGATTCGATACGCAAGAGCATGCTCTACGTATGAACAATTTCTTAAACGAGGTAAATTATTGACAAGCAAGTTGATGAAACAAGAATATCAACAGTCTCGTTTAAAGTCATCATTTCGTAAATTCTATGGTCGATACAATGACCTTGTCAGCAAATACAATTTATCATTGAATGAAATGCTGACTGACGTTTTTCATACCAATTGTTAGTCCATTATTTATACACTGAATTGACCACGGATTTTTTCCGTTATTTCCTGATTATGACAACGAGCACACGGCGGGTGTGACCGGTCGGCAGGGGATGCTCACTCCTCCATGGCACCTGATCCCACCTCTGATGTTTCGGAGGTCCGTGTTTGCTTTGCTCTTATTTTGTATATTTGTTTAATGGACGTTGAGATTGAATACTGTTCGTTATTTCCATATCCTTCTTTCTGAAATAAATATCTACGTCATAAATACTTTTGACGTTTCCGAGATCTACATACCACCATGCTGGATTTGAAGGTTCGGAGGAAGAACATGTGGATAAAGATCTGTCTACAGCATTATTAGCCACGTCAGTCATAGATAAACCGATGCTATGTTTTGCCGGTTTATGAGCCGATATATCGTCTAAAATACACAGAAAATATTCATATTTGAAAATAAATCTAAAAACAAATTTAGAATAAACCTCTTAAGGTAGGATTCTTCTCTGGTTTCTGACAAGATGAAACATTCAAAGCATATTTGCTTATATGTCTTACATATTGAGGTGTAAGGAATTTAAAAGACCATATTTTTCTTTCCTCATTACAATTGTACAACTTTAAATAGAAATGGTAAACTGTGTTTGAAAACTAGCAGGGACTATATTTTTGGCGGAATGGTGGCGTATGAAAATATCTTCTTTTCTGCCTCTCAAAATTATAATAGAACAATGAATTTAGTTATAATTTTTACACAATCGAAGACTTGGAGAAATTTTCAAATGTAAGTTAGATTAATAATGAAGGACTAAACTTTCAAAATATATCAAATAAATATGATTTTTCAAATAAACTAGAACTTTATTAGCTTTTAAACGTTTCCTATCAAAGTGCAGATTTGAGCCAAAAATCTATAAAAAGTATTTTTTCTCTCTTAGTAAACAATCAAAACTTTTTGTTTTTGTATCATTTTGTACATTTATAATACTACTTTATTATATGTGAAAATAAGAAAAAGTTAAATATAGGAAGCATATGAAAATAACTAATATATCCTAAAAAATTAAGAAAAACAGAGAAAATTCGGATTAACCAATATCCAGTTAAGTTAAATTATTTATTTAAATTTGGTAATATCATGCTATAGACCTGATATAGTAATATGTTTTTATGCAAAAAGAACAATCATTAAACTTTTGAAATAAAAGTAGGTATCACATGATTGGCAACAGTTATTTTTTATTCTTAATCTCAAGGAGAAAGATAATGACCTTGACCTGACCTTGCTTCTAATATAAAACGGTCAAATTTAATTTCACTGATACTTTCACTTACTGATATTGTCTTCTTGATTCTGTGAAAATTTCATTAATTTTTAAATATTAGAAATATGAGAATCCTACCTTAAGTAGAGCATTTTGAAAATTTGTAAAACATTCAGTGGTGTTTTTTTTTTCCTAATACGCACACTGTGCATCATAATTAAAGTAATGTGTGTCTGCATAATGTAATGCATGAATATAAAAACAAATTTAAAATAAACCTCTTAAGAAGAGCATTTTGAAAATTTTGTGGAACATTCAGTGGTGTTTTTCAATACGCACACTGTGCATGATAATTAAAGTAATGTGTGTCTACATAATGTAATGCATGAATTTCTATAAAATGTAAAAATAGCATTACATGTCTCTAAATTACTATTAATTAAATCCGCAGGAGATTAACTTCTGCCCATAATCAATTTATAAAATGAGGCGAACTATAGACAAATAAGATGATGATACAAGGAAATCAATAGTCTCGTTTAAATATATTTTGCTTATTCTGTAGTCGATAGAATGACCTTGTTGGTAAATGTAATTTATCTATCTTAATTTGATACTGAATGACATCTTTCATGCTAATCATAACATGTCATTATTTTTACACTAAATTGTTCACTGTTTTCGTTTTTTCTCGACACAGGCGTAACCGATCGACAGGTGATATTTATCCCCGTAGGAAACTTGCTTCCGCCTCGAACTGATGTTTTGAAAGTCCGTTGTCTTGCTCTGCTCCAAATTTGTATTGAAAGTTTTAAGTTCATTCATGTTAATGTTATAAGCATTGCTACCGTATTGCCGATTTCTTTAGCTGTTTTAAAATATAGTGTTTTGCAATTTTTAAAGACACCCTATAATTTCAGTGAACAAATTGTTCAAAAGATCTAAATCAATTACATTTTTGTATGTGTACTATGGGTACTTCGCATGAGTGGACATATGTAACAGATTACTTCTTGGTAGGTTTGTATAGATAAATAAGGATTTTCTCAAGATTTCAGAAAGGCATAATGTTAAATGCAGACCATTTTTTTTACTATTCAGTTTTTATAATACAAGAACAAAAAATTATCCATAGAAAATTGTTCAAATTACTACCAAACAAATTGTCCACGCTAAAATTAATACGGCTAAAGGAAAGTTTCTATTTCTATTCACTTATTCATCGTTTTAGGCCTTGATCTGGGGTTCACATATACCTTAATTTTCTCGATGGAGAGATAGAGAAAAAATCTTAGTATTTGTAACAAACCATGGAATGTATAGTTTTAACAAATGCTTTCAATCATGATTTTCAGTACGACATTCTTCTTAAGGTTTGAAAAATTAATTCCTTTTTAACCTTTTTTCCTTTTTCCTAAAATATCTAGAATTCTAATTCCCCTAACCCCTTTGAATCGTCACTTCAAGAAATAAACTTCCTGGTCAGTATAAAATAAATGAATCGAAAATTTTTGCATTACTGATTACTTTTAAGATAAAACTGCCTCGTACAAACCGTATCCTGCAGAAATGTCCATGCTAAAAAATTGAACAAGTAAACATTTGAAAAAAAAAATACGCATTTCTAAATCCTGATTTTCTAGTTACGTTCATAAGTCATGTGCATTCATGGACATCTGTTATATTTTTAGACTAGTTTTTCAAGACATTTAAAACTTGGTAAAAATAAAATGTTTGGCAGGCTTTAAATCGTTTAGTAATATAGTTATATATTGTTGGAAGAGATAGGCGTGGAAATCGTTTAGTTTCAATGCTGTTTGGTTGCAAATACGTCACCTGGAATAAAGTTGAAGCAACGAATTTAAATAAAATATACATTTTATCAGTTTACAATTTTTTTCTATTTGAATATTCTTTAATAAAAAAGACGATATCAGTAAAAATCAAGTTCATATATATAACAGGTACATATTTAGTAAAGGTACGATTTTTTAATTTTCCCTTTGAATTAGAGTTATTGTCTCACGTACATTTTTCCGGTTGTAGTCATTTAACAATTCCAAGTAACCATTTTTCTTTTCCGGTGATTCACATTGAAAAGCTGGGGAATTTAGTAGCATAAAGTCTTATGTCACTTTTTCAAAAATAATTCATCTGCACCGATTTGATACATTTACATACTGTAGACGTATTTTTCCCACAGGGTCATAATTCCGCAGAATCTCATTTTCCGTTCAATCCGCGGATTGAAAATTACGCGGATTTTTTTTAGAACTGTCACTATATGCCTTGCATTTATATCAAGAACGCTTGGACAAATTTCCGCGGAAAATTTGCGACCGTGTACATAGCGTAAACTAATACCGCGCGGAAAAAAAGTACTTCTACAGTATAAGACAATTTATGGGGATATGGGCATATAATGATAAAACTTTTTAATGATTCCTGCACAAACCTATGTGTTCAAGTTTTTTTTTCACAATCGGTCCTCAATGCCGAATACAGGTGAAAATTTGTAGCTCTCCGCCGGCAAGTGGCGGAATCTCCATATGAGTGAAAAATTCTCGAGAGGGAAGTTAAACAATAAACAATCAATCAATCCATTTTGGCTTCTTAAGTTTTCAGGTCACATTGTATTACATAATAAGGACTTTCACATAGTATTACGGTATTACAGCATAGTATTATACCAGTAGTGGTACTTCCGTTTCAGACTTAATTTTAGTTTCCAGGCGTAATTTTTCTGGGAGTCATTTATTTTTCCAGGTGAAGTTCATTTTAATTTTTTGCCTTATATACTTGCTCAATCCCTTTAAGTACCTCTTAGGTTACGCCCCGAATATATGAACATATATGTAGTGACACAAACTGATGCTCAGAATCTCTCCTCCACGAATGCCTCTACTACCTCTATATTACAGGCGGAACATTTTGTACATTATCATCGGTCACTACGGTATAGTTTCGTTATGGATTGCTTATGCATTATTTTCAGACTGCCGGTTACCTCATATTGTTTTTCTATTTTAAGACAGATTGATTGATTGTATAGTGTTTAACGTCCCTCTCGAGAATTTTTCACTCATATGGAGACGTCGCCGTATGCCGGTGAAGGGCTTCAAATTTTGACGTTTACTCGGCACTCAGGGCCATTGAGCAGTGAGGGATCTTTATCGTGCCAACGCCTGCCGCTGACACGGGGCCTCGGTTTTTAAGGTCTCATCCGAAGGACCCGCAACTTTCACTTGAAAGTGCCGAGCGCATGGCGAAGGAACAGTAACTACCCATTTTTTATCGACTTGGGTTTGTCGCGGCCGAGATTCGAACTCACGACCTCCCGATCACGAAGCGAGCGCTCTACCGACTGAGCTACCGTGAACGGTTTTTAAGACAGAAACAAATGATGATATATTTGTACTTGATTCAAAGAAAACAAAATAAAAAGTGTATGTCTTCCAAATGTCTCAACTGCAGGATGCTATGTGATGTAAGAACCCGAAATAGCACTTTATCTATAAACCGACTAACGTTGTTCTATCTCTGAGTGTTTTAAATAACAATAGGACAATTTTAATTTATTTTTTTTTTATTTCCTTGCTTGCTATAAGATATATATACATCTTGCTACTCTTGAAATTATGAGGAGTTTGTCCTGGCATCATTTAACGAGAGATTTCTATAGATATGGACGGATTGTGTGGTATTCAATTCCTCGTATGCGTGATTTTCAACATGGTCAACACGATCAGGTGTTGAACTTTGTTGGAAACTCTCTCTACTGGTGATATCGTATGATGGTTGGTCATTTCCCTTCTCATTTCTCTTTTTTCTGAATTGTGAAATATGTTATTAATGGTTTTGAACCACACTGTCTTTTGAAATTTCATAGATTCAAAGAATATATAAATATTTCATATTACATTTAGAATGCTATATACTGTATACTTGATATATCCGACACACAACCAAAAATGTATATCAGACTGTGGACAATAAATAGAAGCCATGATTTATACTGATTTGTATCTTCTAGTTTCATCTGTCAAATATACCTGATAAGACAAAGTACCGTGAAACAGAATCCTACATTGAGAAGTAAAGAAATGACCAATCCTGCTGTCAGTCCGTCAACTTTGCCTCTATCTTCCGTGTATGCGTCTATGGAAGGCAGTGGAACAAAACCTTCCAAATAAAAAATATATCTTTAACATATTTAAACTCAACTTATCAGAAGATTTTCTAAAACATGAACAGAAATTTGAAAATGTAGCATAATGTAAAATATTTAACATGTTGCATGAAACTTTCAATAATTTCATTATTGTGCCTATTTTTCTGTACATATACCTACCTTAGCTCATATGGCAATTAAATTTAAAAAAAATAGTAAGCACATCAATTCATAATTATTCATTCTGGAGAAGAATGCATTTAAAGATTTTTTTTCAAGTAGATGAGTCAATTAATTCTTTACTTTTTTAAATGTAACAATAAATACACAATTAAAATTGTTCTAACACATTAATTTCTCGTTTTACCATATAATTAAAATCAGTGAATAACTATTTTCACCCCTTCTCTCTCTCTCTCTCTCTCTCTCTCTCTCTCTCTCTCTCTCTCTCTCTCTCTCTCTCTCTCTCTGATTAAAAATAATTGTTGAAGGTGGTAAAAGAGATTTCTTTATAGCAAAATAAAACAGTTTTTGAATGAAAATACCCAACAGTTCTTACGGTGAAGGACTTTCATTACAGTTTTGAAAAATGCGCAGTAAAAAAATAGAAAATTATCATTTCAAATTAATATAAGCCCTGACAAAATGAAGTAATAAAATTGTAAATGCCATTAGCTTAAACCTTCAATACAGGTAGCAAGTACACGTTCCAAAAAATCATTGAAAGTATTAATGTAAAAAATATCCAAATTCACCTTTTAAACTTTGACATGTATCACCCTCGTAATCCTCCTGACAACCACTAGGACAACTTCCATTTATAATGTTACAAATCTCGTTCTTCAGACAGTTTGAACTACAGAGTTCTTCACAGTTATAACCATAATGTCCAGAGGAGCACGCTATAAATATACCAATGGATTACAAATGTTTGATATATTTTATATAAAGTCTATATATATTTTAAATATATTACATGAATTGTAAAACTGAAGAGTTCAAATTTAAAAGATTTCTGCTTAGCAATTATTTAATATTCATTAGATTAATATTATTGAAATATACCTTTGGAACAATTTCTTCCCATCAATCCTTTGTTGCACGTGCATAGTCCATTAACATTATTACATATAGAATGGCAATTTACAGAACACTTCTGGGAGCAATTTTTACCGAAGAATCCCTGGCCACAAGCTGCATATTAAAAAGAAAACTAAAAAAAAAACGTGAAATGTGAAGATAATGAACAAGGATTTTAAGTCTACATGACTGTAAAACCCACTCATTAAAGAATAGAAGAATTATTAGAATTTATTAGGATATAAAACTTCGGTTTTTCAATATTCAATATATATGTTCGAAAAGTTCTTGGACGATGTCAATCTTTGTTATATTACTCACTAGAAATTAAAAATAAGCACAATATAATATGTGAAAATATTTGTTTTGTTGATATGTGAAGTTTCATTCATTCGGAGCACACTAAACGTTATTTTAACGTCAAAACATAGCGTCAACAATTTCTAAATGCTATCCCTATACATTTCTCACACTATAATCCAATGCCCAATCATTAAATCATTTTTCCTAATACTTGACATATATTTTGTTCAGAATTGCTTTCGTTATATAGTTTCCTTTGCTTATGTTTTAATTTATTTTATTTCTAAGGATAAGCAAGTCTGAAGCACCCGTGTCTTTCCTTGACGTTCCAACTTTTTAAAGTTGCTGTTAAGATTTTTAGTTACCCGTTTCTTCACAGATTGTCCTCATCCGATACATGGTATCTGTCACTCAAATGCTGCCTGTACTATTTGTAAACACACGCACAACTCGTTTTTGACATATTTTTTTTAACCCTCCAACATTTATACGTTTTACGTTTATTCAGGTTTTTTACTAATTAAAAGACAAAATTGCATCGTTATCTGCTGCTCCGTGACGTTCTAAAACGTCATCGTTTTTTGTCGTTTTTAGTAAGGACTACCTATCTTCTCCATTTGATTTCTTTTCAACAAAGCAAAATATAAAGTCATTTTTGGAATACAAATCGATGTAACAATTCTACAAAATTTGGATAACATATGACGTCAAATGAAAAAGATATGACAGAAGTCCACGAACTTTTTGAACAACCCTCGTGTGATACAGTAACTTACGAGCATCACATTTGCCGCCTTGAAATCCTGCCTGACATCCATGAGTACAATGACCATCGACATGGTGACAGGTTTCATTGTTCAAACAATTACCACTGCAGAACCCTTCACACTTGACACCAAATCGACCATCACTACATACTGGTTAACATGAAAATAGGCTTGTTTGTGTCAGAATCATACATTTAATCAATTACACTTTTTTCAAAAATAAAATACATCACACCACCTTTGCCTTAAAGTTTAAGCATATATCAATGTTTTTTAAGATAATTAAAAGGTTAATATGTAACCTATAGAATATCCTTGTAAATTTATGCATGTAAAATAAGGACATATGATGAAGTACTAACGTATGTTGCATTTATCATTTCTCCATCCTGGCATGCAACCATAATCACAAAAACCAGTTATGTAATTACAAGATTTGTTCACACATTGGCTGCTGCATCTTCCAGAACAATTTAGACCGAATGCACCAGGTTCGCAAGCTGAAAAAAAAAGACAAGAGAAAATGCGCAAAGTATCAAATTTGCCTTAAAGGCCAAAGCTTTGTGTTTTCAAATTCTTCGAAATTTTAAAATATATCAAACAAAATACCCTAATATGTATGAAAAAATGGGCAGTTATTAAACAAAAAAAAAATCAACCACTAACTGTATTTAACAGCTAGGAGAATTTTAAGGGTTGATTATTGATGTCTTAATATTTAACACTTATCATGCGTCAGCAGAACTTCAGCTAATCTACGGCTTTAAAAATGTTTAATAATTAAAAGAAAAAAAAGTTCAGTGTTTGTTGTTGTAACAGTTCCTTGAATAAACTTATATGAAACCACGACTTCATTATGATTTTGACCAATTTCATGATCATTTCTAAGGATTGAAAAAAGACATAAATGGTATTCTAAACCACAGCTAATGATAAATGTGATGTCTTTAAGTATCCAATCGTCAACTTCCCCTATTTATGCAGCAAAATACGTTCATAACAAACTTGCATATAGGGTCTATATATCTCATTGATTCACTACCCAAGAGCTTTTTCTACCTATAAACACCTTCTGAAACGAAGTAAGTTATTGACAAACAACTTGATAAAATATTTGAAGATAACGAACCGTATTCAATATCAAACGTCCATAAAACAATACAAAATAGGAGCAGAGAAACATGAATTTCCAAAACCACAGAGGTGGGATCAGGTGCCATGGAAGAGTGAGCAAGAATATCAGCAGTTTCGTTTAAAGTCATCATTTCGTAAGTTTTATGGTAGAAACAATGTCCTTTTCAGCAAATACAATTTATTATTAAGTCAAATGCTGATTGACGTTTATCATACAAATTGTTTGTCCATTATTTTGACTACGAATTGACTACGAATTTTCCCTTTATTTCCCGGTCATGACAAGGAGGACACGGTGAGTACAGTATACAGTATACAGTATACAGTATTTTATGTTTCTAATTGCCATCATTCGGCAGCGGAAATTTCGTTTAATCAGCCATTTATTACATAAATTATAAAAGGTCAAAAATGTTTCTGCGCTTTCTTAAGATACTCCTAAAGTTTAGGAAGTGACATCCCTGAGACCAAGATTTATAATATATGAGTATTCTTAAAATAATGAGATGAACATTCTTAAATAATAAGATGTATTAAGATGTACTCAATCCATTACTACATTAAAGAAAGTTATAAATATGCTTGGATTGAGGTTGAAAGTAAAAAAAAAAAATATACATCTGCTATGGCAACATTACCATAGAATTTCAAAACAAGAAACACAACAAGACAGAATTTTACTTACTTTCGTTGCACAAAGTTCCCTTAAAGCCTTCTTTACATCCATTCATACATTTCCCATTAATCTTATCACAGGTTTTATTTTGAAGGCAGTTTCCACTGCATAGTTTTACACAATTTTCTCCATATGTACCGAAATCGCAGCCTGAAAAATTTTATAAAGATGACCGTCGAAAAAGGATGCTTTTTACCCAGAAGCACCTTATCCCAACATTTTCATTTCCAATTTCCCGTGCCTTTTGCTCTGTTCAATAATTTGTATTTTGCTATTGTTGTTGTTGTGTTTGCTGTTGTTTGTTGTTTTTGCTGTTGTTTGTTGTTTTTCTAAGCGATCACTGTTCGTTATATTCACCTATTGCAATATAAAGCTGTAAATATCGGTTATACATGCCCTTCTCAGATGCAGACAAAAACGAAACGTGCCATTCAAATCCTAAAATGTTTGACTAAATTGCACTGAACACACAGTTGTCATAAAAACAGTCATATAATTTTGGTTTTCAAAATCATACAAAGTAAAATGAACCCTAAAAGCGTTATCATTGCCAGAAATTGATCTAACTACACTTTACACTTTAATCATATAAAGACAATTCAAATAAAAATTCACAATAAATTATATTCATAAAGCTTGTGTTGCATTTAGATGACGCTATCTTAAATCGACTTACAATCTACTTCACTTATTTATAAATAAATGAGGTATAAGGTTAGCAGAATCGTGAATTCTATCTCAGATCAGATAATAATTTTCCATACTTAAATTTTCTCATTTATAATCATCCCTGGTCCTATCTGACTGTCTATCTTTATTTCTAACGAAAGGATTTCTAATGGATTTTTTTTTCTAGATTTGTGACTTTTAAAAAAAGTAATTTCTCAGATTATTAATTGACACAAGTAAACATTATCTAATTGGTACATGTTTCCTTATTATGGCACATCAGAAAATAAAAAAAAATTAAACATTTACCGTCATAAAATGATAGATATCTAGCAACAGAAATGATAAGGATAAGATTATGTACAGAAATATGTGTACGAGTATATTACCTTGTTCACATTTAGAGCCTCTATAACCCGGTGTACATCCGTCATCACACTCCCCACTTTCTTTGTTGCAATCCCTCTGCTTTGCACAGTATCCACTACAATTGTTTTCACAGTTTTTGCCGTACGTTCCATAAATACATGCTTTAAAGCAAAATATTTCTTTCATTATTTAAATTTTGTCCAAATTTATTGCATAAATTTTAAATCAAAATTCATTTTCAAATCTTAAAAAAAAGGGATGGCAACTCGTAACCAGTTAACCGATTACTATGGCGGAAAGATCGTTAGTTGGAACAATAATAGAATATATGTAAAAGTGAACACCATTTTCCTAAAAATTCACTTTTATAAAGATATATCTACAGGAATGTTAATTTCGCGTTTAACGAATCTTTATACGCTGAACAGGCTTATAAAGTGCATCACGGCTCTTCGGATGACAGGGATAATTGGTCAGTTTGTATAGTCTGCAATGTCTGTATAGTCTGCAATGTCCTCATCGGCAAATACAATCTACAATTAAATGCTGATTGGCGATTTTTCATATCAATTATTAGGCCTTTAATAGCACACGGAATCAATGAAGCACTTATGCGTTTTTAATTTCCTGATCATGAAATGGAACATTCGGCGTGTGTGACCGGTCGGCAGGGTATGTTCACTCCTTCATGGCACCTAATCACACCTTTGCTGTTTAGAGGCCCATGTTTCCCCTGCTCTAGATTTGTATTGTTTGAATGGACTTTTCGACTTAAATTAATGTTCGTTGCCTCCATAAAAAATTAGTGCACTTTTTGGCCGCGGTAAAATGTGAAAAATGAATTTTTAAATTAAGCGTAATATTTTATCTCACATCATCATTTCTTATTTAAACCATAACATTCAACAAGTTATAGCGTTGAAATTTATGCATATAAAAAGCATGAAGCTTTACAATGAAGTAGGGGTCAGACGACTGAATTAATATAGTAAATATCAACAGTCTCGTTTAAAGTCATCATTTCGTAAATTCTATGGTCGATACAATGACCTTGTCAGCAAATACAATTTATCATTGAGTCAAATGCTGACTGACGTTTTTCATACCAATTGTTAGTCCATTATTTATACACTGAATTGACGACGGATTATTTTTTTTCCCGTTATTTCCTGATCATGACAACGAGCACACGGCGGGTGTGACCGGTCGGCAGGGGATTCTCACTCCTCCATGGCACCTGATCCCACCTCTGATGCTTCAGAGGTCCGTGTTTGCTCTGCTCTTATTTTGTATATTGTTTAATGGACGTCGAGATTGAATACTGTTCGTTATCTCCATATCCTTCCATAGAGGACAGGTACATGTATTCATTTCAAAGCCCCTTTTTCTGTGGAAAAGACAGAATACGAATTATATGTTCGGAAAATTTCAGTGAAAGTATTTTAATATATTATTGAAGCATATGTTTTCATCTTAACGATTTGCAACAACATAGTATAAATTTTGATCATACGTTACGTTATTAGGGGTCACAAGAAGCTAGAATATTAAATCTTTGACGGTTTCTTTCTCAAATAAGAGAATATTTTGATACGAAATATTGAACAAAGTATAGTAAAAATAATGTTCCAAATAATATGCACCCTATGAATTTTTGCAAAACGGCACCATTAAGGACTTGGAGAGGTGGCCCCTAAATATTTTTATTCAGGATATTTCTCCAACGAAAAGAAATCTGTGAATAGGTGTTAAACAAAGTCTTTAAAATCACAAGACCTTTCATTTGAAATCAAGAAAAAGGGGCTGACCCCTCAAATTAGGGGCCCGGAGGGGCCAAAAAGCTTTAATCTTTAAATCTTCAATGATCAATATTTTGTAATACATTACTGAAGCAAAGGTATTCCTCTTAACGATTTGCAACAACATATTAAAAATTGTGATCATATGTTACGCAATAAGGGGTCCCAAGGGGCCAGAATGCTAAATTTTTATAGCCTTATATCTCGAAAAAGGGAATGTTTGGCTAAGCCATATTCAACGAAAAAGGAACGGAAAAGGAACACTTAATGTCATTCTCTTTTTATAAATATCTCGGTCATAATCACATCTCATCTTATCGAGAAATCCAACGGAAGACCCAATCGTTGCCTACAACGAGATCTCATCTAGTTATTGATCTTTTCGGTTGGTGTAAGATACTCTCGTTAATCTTACTTTCATTGCAAAAAAATCCCATCCATCCCGTACGACATCCCTCACAATGACCAGTCACATGATTACAGAAATTATTTCTGCATCCATCTGAACATATTCTCCTACATTCAGCTCCGTAATATCCAGCTGGACAAGCTGAAATAGTCAACATATAAAACAATATCATAACCCTTTTTTTAAACAATTGATTGTGCGATCTATCTGCATATTTACAATAAGGTTTTTAGGTACTTTAATTTATGTATGATAGTTTACTTTTATTTTCATGAAACATGTGAAACGAGTATTTTGTTTTATTTACACACACACACACACTCTCTCTCTCTCTCTCTCTCTCTCTCTCTCTCTCTCTCTCTCTCTCTCTCTCTCTATATATATATATATATATATATATATATATATATATATATAAACTGTAACTTTTTATTCGCGAGAACTTTATTTTCGCGTAATTACGCGAGACTGTGTGCTCGCGAAAATTTAGTATTAGTATTCTTTTAGATTATATAGAGCAATAACTACAATTCGTGAAAATTATGTCTCGCTTATCAAGAGGCAATGACTATCTCGCGAAAATAAGGTGTCGCGAAAATTTAGTGATCTACAGTATCTTTGTCATTAAATACATGTGTTTAATTTTGAATACGTATATATCTACATTTTTGCATGCCTCGTCCTACTCCTGGTGATCAGTCTTTCAATGAATTTAAATCTACTCTATGTAATGAAGATTTCACATGAGTTTCAATTTTTTCTGGTTTATTGATTCTTGAGAAGAGTTTTAAAAGATACTAACAAACTTTTACTCAATCTCGATAGGTTACCCTTGAAAAAGGGGATGCTTTGTAGCAAGTAAAGTTGAAATTGACACGGTGGTTCTTGAGAAGAATTTTAAAATGTGGAACAAATCCAGGACGAACGGACAGACAGGCGCACAAATTGTGTTAAAAAAATCCCACTTAAGCTTTTAGCTCAGGTGTGCAAAAATAAAGACCACAAAGAAGTTTTAGTACCATAAAGGTGCCTTCCTTCCATGCATTTATTAGATTTATGAGTCTCGGGCAGCGCACCCTATTAAAAAACATACACACGCAAATAAACAAAACAGAAAAAGCAAAATGTTTTTGGACTAATTTACCATCTGTACACTTGTCCCCAGTCCAGCCGTCTTTACATCCAACACAAGTCCCATTAGTTATGTAACACATCCTCTCTTGACAATTAGTAGGACAGGTTTCATTGCAGTTGAATCCATAAACACCATCCTCTTCACAACCTTAAAAACACATTTATCTTTCAAGATATCTTGGCATTTATCGATCTCATGTTTAAAATTTCATTAACGATCAATTAAGATAATCTTCAATGAAAAGAAATAAATTTACCTTGTACTGTGACTTCACACAGCTGGATGTATGTAAATAGCAGATTGTCAGGTATGAATATACTTTATGTACAATCAATTAATATAATCTTCAATAAAAAGAATTAAAATTACCTTGCACTATAACTTCACAAAGTTGTGTGTATGTATAATGTTTATTGTCGGGATACGTCACACCAGGAATTCTTTCATTGTAGAAAATTACGTATCGTCCAAATGAAACACATACATGTGTAACGTTAAGATTGGGTAACTCTGGCCCATTGTGACTGTAACACAAGTAAGCCTCGTGTAACAAACTGAAGTCTGTACTGTTAGAGATGTAGAGTTTGTATCCATACATGCGCTCTCTCTGTCGTTGTTCTATATTATAACAAAAAAAATAAAACTAAGAAGGAATTACAAATGCAAGACATCTTACTGTATTTTGAAACTACTTAAGTACAAAAATCACGTTCTTTTATTTGTAGACTAGTTTTAAATTTATATAATGTAGAATTATTTTTATAAACTCATTCATGTGAAGAAACCCCTGGTCTGGATTCAACTCATCCTTCTTCACCTGCATACGGAGTTTATGTATCTCAGTTGATTCGATACGCAAGAATATGCTCTACGTATAAGCAATTTCTATAACGAGGTAAATTATTGAAGTTGATGAAACAAGAATATCAACAGTCTCGTTTAAAATCATCATTTGGTAAGTTCTATGGTAGATACTATGACCTTGTTAGCAAATACAATTTACCATCGAGTCATATGCTGACAGGGGTTTTTCATACTAATTGCTAGTCCATTACTTAAACACTGAATCGACGACGGAATTTTCCGTTAGGTCCCGATCATGACAAAGAGCACACGGCGCGTTTGACCGTTCAGCAGGGGATGCTCACTCCTCCATCGCTCCCGATCTTACCTCAGATGTTTTAGAGTTCCGTGTTTCTTAAGCTTCTATTTTGTATTGTTTAATGGACTTTTGATCTTGAATACTGTTCTTTATTTCCATTTGTTTCAATCGATATATCAACAGTGTTTTTTCAAATAACAATCACTACATTGAATTAACATTTGCTGTATTCTTCTACTTCAACAATTATAAGATTGATTTGAATGCTATTTTGTTTGTACGCAGGCGCAGAAATAAATACAAAAATCCCGCGCTATTATGTGACGTCAGAATTAGAGTACAAAGACGTTTATTAGAATATAACGATAAAGGGTAACAAGATTTCAACACTGAGTATATTTTTGCTGCTTATAAGAATTGAAATTGTAGATATAAGAAAAATTGAGTGTGGATTGAGTTAAGTGTGCTGATGAAATATTCATACGTGACCATTTTGCGTGATTTACACACCAATAACTCACAAAAAAAAACTTTCAGGTATACCTTTACTCAGATGACAAAAAATTCCACTGATAAAGACGAAAAACCACCTATTGCACATTGTACACTTATAACTCCTGTGCTAAATTCCAATTTCAAATAACTAAGGTCAATGACCTACTTTTCATGCTAGTGACCCCTTAGTATTTCTCGAAAAATACCTCAATTTTTCACACTGTGACCATTTTTTCTTCCCTCACAAAATATTACAAGCAACAAAGCTCTTTAAATAATGAAGTATTATAGCAATGAAACAGCATTGCTTCATATAAAGAAACAATTAGAGTTTGGTCCATAAACTTGATAATTATTACAGTCCAAATTTCCTCTGTCATATTTAAATTTTTTCCCATTTTTTAAAAATTACAAAAATCTAAATGATAAGAACTCTAAACTAGAAGATCTGCTATTGCAAGCAATAGCTTATGTCGCCCCAAACTTGACAAGACTTTCATTTTTTGTCATCACTAATACAATACCCGTTATAGCTAAGCTTGTAAACCCATCACCTCATATCAGTCCCTTCAGTATTTTGATTTAAAAATCAAAGTTAAAGAATTATCACTTTTCCCCTGTTTCAATGGCAACTATTGACAATTTCAATTTTAAAATCCAATGAGCACAATTACAGATACTAATCATTACAACAACAAAGTTTCATGAAGAATGTCAAAGGTACCAGAGAGAACACTCGCGGACGAAATTTGTCGCTTTTTGCAGGTTTCCATGACAACGGTAGCCATTTTGAAACTGAATGACCACACAACACAGCTACAACCAGCGATCCTCCTTTGAGGAAGGTTTCAGGAAGATTATCCCAGCCATCTCCGAGAAACTGCTTGTATAACAAAAACATGCGTACAATCGCAATATGTCGTCCCCGACTTCGTTCGGGGCGACATAATTATCTATTAGCGAAGGTTACTTTTGTTGTCCTAATTCTAATGGTATTAACATTATTTGGGGTCAATGATCAAATTAATGAGATATGTTGTCTGAAATGGTTTTAGTTTACATTTTTTTATTTCATAGCTTTCAATTATCGAAAAAATTCATTAACTTTAACACACAAAATATTTGCAAAATGATTTCTAAAAATACATGTAACCTTTACATCGTGACTAATAATGCAAGAAATAAATCATTTTGAAAATAATGAAAAATCAAAAATTGTGTCCGAATTTCCTCTGCATTACCTATACCATACATTGACTTTTGTTCCTTTATATTTTCTTCAAATAATCAAACATTAATTTTTTAAAATTGATATTGAGTTAAAACTTTAACTCATTTTATCCATTTAGAACATTTTTTTATTAAACACATTATACTTCCTTTCTGTTTTCTAAAACGTCATCCTAAAAACATTCCTTTGTTATTTTCTCAGTGAATGTCTGTTAGTGCCGAGTATATGAGTTTTAGACAAAATTGGAAGCTCTCCCCGACAGGTTGTGGGCCCCCATAATTCTATTTGTGAAAAATCTCGAAAGGGATTTCAACAACATGCTTTAAATCAATCTAGAGCAGACTCTCTTACCATTACGCCACGCTGGCTTATTTTAAAAGTGAAGATAACAACGAGTGATCGATCTCAAAAAAATTATTAACAATACAATTATGAAAAGAGTGCATAAAACATTGACCCATGGAAATTTCGGAGGAGGGATCAGGTGCCAGGGAGAAGTAAGCATCCTCTGCTGACCTTTGCACCTGCTGTGGGCCCTATGTATTTATCGGGTAGACGGAATTCTTCGTAGTCAATTTAGTAAAAAAAAAGATAGCAACTCTTAACAATTGGATAATAAGCACATTATTTAAAACATGACTAATTTCTTAGCTTTGTTCGCTAACAAGGTCATTATTTAAAAAATAAGGTATCATTTTTAAATATCTATCGGGTTATAAATATGCGTTTTTCATGAGATCAAAGAAGAAGCCTTAGGGCTTTATGGTAAACTATCTCGAACCAATCTGTATTTAGCCCAAAAGATGTTTTTAAAATTATACCTTATTACTTATCTTTACATTGTGAGTTATATTTTTATTGGCCTTATCATAATTTTCAACATGTGAAATTATTTATTTTTCAAACTGTAAAAAAAAAACAACTTTAATTGTAAATTGATAATACTCCGTCCATTTATCTGAATTGAAAACCACTGCTATTTTTTCCCTCTTCTCCGCTAATAAAGGAGCACAATTAGAGCCCATTAGAATTTCAACAGTTTGGAAGAAAAGATGGTCTCCTAACATGATCCCCAAAGACTGCATAAGTACTGCCTGTGAAGAACTCCATTATCTTTCTTATACATATATTAAATTCAGAGTCATTGTGTGTGCAATCAGAGTAGTTTTTACGAAATATACGGAGATAACGAACATTATTTAAGTATTTGAGCTGATGACAAATTACAAGATGTATCAGTCTATGATATCAATAAAATTCTTATCTTATTATAAGAATGTGATTGATTAATTTTGCTTATATTATACCTTTTAATATACCTGGCTTCTTCGAACAAGAGAAGCTCGATCAAAATGCTAGCTATCTTCCTCCAAATCGCATTTTTGGATTGAGCAAAAATCTCTTAATGATTAAATAAATTTTTTGTGCACTGGTGTTTTCAAAGAGTAAAGAATTGAAGGAATTTATTTAAATTATTTAAATTTCGTTGGATTTATGTGTTTGTTTGTTACTTACCATATTCGGTACCATAAAGTCTGAAGTAAATCTCTACGTCATAGATACTTTTGACTTTTTGGAGATCCACATACCACCAAGCTGGATTTGAACTATCAGTAGTAGAACATGTGAATAAAGATCTGTCTACAGCATTCTGAGACACATCAGTTTTAGTGTATATTGTGCTTTGCTCTGTTGGTTTATGTGCCGATATATCGTCTGAAAATACACACAAAGTCGATTTGAAATCAGAAAAAAAATATTTACAGAGAGTCAAAGAAATACAAAATAAGTCTTAGTAGCAACGCATGTTAATAAGTGCCCGATGCACATGGTTCACTAGTGTATAACGCTTATGGTGACCCTACAATAAAAGTAAAGACTTCAACTTTTATCACCAACTTTCTTTAATTGTATACAGTGTAGCAATATTATTATAACACCTGAATTTTTCGTTCATGTCTCCTAATTAAATAGATACACAAGCGTTGTACATGTATACACGATATATATGTTGGAACATTTTTTGAAACGAGTCAAGCTAGTAACCAACAGGTTGATGAAATAGGATATGAAAAGTCGCGTTTTCAGTCATCATTTCGTAAGTTTCGTAAGTTTTTGAAAATTAAAAATATGAAGGCCATGGAAGGGTCGGATGGAAAGTCAAAAGTTGCTCTAAAACGTCTTGTCACAGGTAATGCACATGGCAAATACGAAAACACTTTCTCTACTGAATCAATAGTTGACGGAATATTACAAATATTTGAAAAAAAAGTCAAATTTCAATGTCAGGGTCACATGATCAACAATCATAGTATATTTAAAAAGGTTAAATACGTCTTTACTATAAAAACTGTATCTTTTTTCTTTAAAATTTTTTACCAATTTATAGTAAAATTTAAATTCTTTTAAAGTAGGTCAAACTTCAGGTAAAGGTGAGAGAGTTAAAATTCATATTGTATTGGAAACGTCTCCTCAAAGGTCATGTCCATATAGTATATAGAAGCCATAATCTCTTCTCATTCAAAAGTTATGAACAAGATTAAAGTTATAATGAAAGGCGGACAGACGAATGAGATTTAATGTCCCCTTACTTTGGCGAAGGGGGGGGATGTAAAAATACAATGTACTTATGGAAATTATTACATACCTTCTACAGGTGCTCTGTAAACGCACACACGATTTCTTTTTTAGAAAAATAACGCCATTTGAAGAATCTCTGTCAGTCCAGTCAAACATTTCCCTGCCCAACCGCACTAATAAATACTTATCATTCTTAGTTCATTAATTACATATATTTTGGGTTTTTCTATAGATCGAGTTACGAAAAAGAAAACTGTAGTGTTTGAAATATTAAACTGCTCCTGAGAGAGTGCATTTGTATCTTTATACGTGGTGTTATTTATTTTATCATCTATTTATAGACTCCAGTCAGCATCATATATAGTGGAAAAGTGGTCAAAGCAAATACAAAACAAATCTACGAACCCCAAAAATGTTTCAAAAAGCAGTCATATGAACTTTAGACGTCAGTTAAATGCAGTGAAATATATATCATGTACATACGAAAGTCCAGAAGGCTCATTCGAGATTCGAGGTTCGAAATACGAAATTCGAGATTCCAAATACGAGATTCGAAATTCGAGATTCGAGATTCGAGTTTCGAGATTCAATATCCAGATTAACCAATCAAAAGCGGGTTCAACATTTGATTACTCCCCTTTATTATGATTTTGCTATCAAGAAATCATACAATATATTAATAACAAATGAGTCATTTGATAAAATTACAATGCAAGAAAGAGTGTTATATATATTAGAAGGAAATTTAAATTATCATTGAATTTTTGATCAGCAAAATATACTTCAATTTATATTATGGCGTCTTAAATATTAAATAGAATACATATATCAGGAGTATATAGATTTTTGTATTGTCTACTTTGTTTCCGGGATTGATAACATAAAAACAAAGTTATAAATAAGTGCCAAGTGTCTAAAGATTAACAATAACCCCACCCCTGCCGACCCCACCTGCCTATTTTCCAAACACACTTTGTAAAATTTGAAAGGCGACGTAGTATTGAAAAACAAAAATCGACTTCGTTTTCCTGATGGAGGAAATACATAAAAATTAAGCATTCAATTACTTATCTTAATCTAAGGCTTTGATTTCTTGAGTTAATTAAACATTATATATACAATACAGATTGGCAATATCAATTAAAATAAATGCGGCATTTATTTTATCTTATATCAATAGTAGATGGGTCTAAATTAGATGTAGAACTATAGCGTTATAGTTTTAAATTTTAGTCTCTGGCATACCAAAGACTAAAATATACTCGTGAAACCTTGTAACGCTACAGTTCAATTCAGCAGTCAAGTCTCACTGCACAAATGTACCCTTTATAAATGTAATGAAATATATACCCTTGAAATACTGTGCAGTGTAGAGACGATTCATAATACTAGTATTTCATATCTATTTATAATCAAATACAATATTCTCCCTCAGCAATGATCTTATAAAAAAAAAATAGTTGACCTACTTGTTCCGCACGTCAACAATAAGACCATATAATATTCCATATATACGTATTTACTATATTTTTTTATGAGAAAAATAAAATTATATATGTATTTTTCAAAATGTAATCCAAATTTTATTTTTATTTCTTTTTGATACATAAAACATTTTTTCTTGCATTATCATTTTAGCAAATGACCCATTTGTTATAAATCACTTTTGATTGGTTAGTTTGGATCTTGAATCTCGAAACTCGAATCTCGAATCTCGAATTTCGAATCTCGTATTTCGAATTTCGAATCTCGTATTTCGAAACTCGAATCTCGAATGAGCCTTCTGGGCTTTCGTATGTACAGCCATTGATATCAATAGAATTTATTTAAATAAATTCAGAGTGCAAGTTAATCATTCAATCAGGATCCAAATATGAGACTATGTAAATCTCAACTTTCATATTAAGAAATTTAATAATAAGTTTGAACTTTTATTATTTGCCATGACATATGATTCTAAAAATAATATCGTACTGTCTTTCTTCCTGGTTATTGTATACATTATCAAATGAAACAAAAGAAGTAAATACAACTGATGAAAATGGTAAAAAGAAATCATTTGATACAAACCGTATCCGAATGAGATATTCACAATGGAAAGCTTAAAAAGTAAACACGAGAAAATAAGACGCATATTCTGAACATGTCTTTCAGGTTTTACGATAGATTGCAGGGTGCAGTCAAGGACAACAACGTTTTATTTTTAGACCATTTAGTCAAGATAACATGCATGCTATGGCGAATATTATCATTTAAATTAAGTAAGCAAATGTTAGAAAACGTTTAAATCTTTAGTCATTGTAGGAACAAAAGGTTTTTCGTATCTTAAAATCACAAATCAGTCCCATATCAGGATCATGACATGTGGGCTAATTGAAATGTTATTTCGATTAAGAGGGTTTGGTATTTTTATAATAAATTTAAAAAAAAGTTTATTATATGAGGACAGTTTATTGTTTAAGTCATTTTATTTTATAACGTAATCAAGATATTTTCATTTCATGAACACTTGTGGTTGTGAAAATGGTTGACATTTACCAGAAAAATATCAATATTGATTGAATTGACGTTAAAGACAATGTAATACTTGATTTAAAATGAACAAATCTCAATTAACAACACTTGATGCTTAAAAATACACTTCACTTTCGGAAATCATTTCTAATCGATACTTTTTGAAAGTTAAGCAAACAAAATGATCACATATGATTGTACGAAACACTGCAAATCACTTTGCAAAGTATATCTGTAAAATCAATTTGGACAGAAAAGAATACATAAATCAACGTATATGCATGTATTTAACTTACACTGGCATAAACAGAAACAAATTAAGATATTTTGGTCCCCTGGTTTTCTATCAAAGGATAGCGCATATTTAGATGATTATTGATATATGACTTTACCTTAATGAGTATTAGATCAAGTTTCGTTCCGCCTAAATGATTTTGAATTTAATTAGGGCATTTTTAATCTTTAATGAAACAAGACTGCATTTGCTACTAGTGAACTAGTATTGCTTTTTCGATATACTCAGAATGCTTGCTTCTTTTATTTTGTTCTCTCCTTGTTCAGGTTGTGTAAGTTTTGTCACTACATATTATAGTCAATTGGAAAAAGACTCATGTAAAAGTATATTTCATGATTATTCCATATATAAGTACAGAATCTAAAAAAAAGAGTTGTCTTGTTGGGGATATTTTGAATCTGGGATCATACACATGTGAAAACTCATGGTATTCTCAGAATTAATGTGGAAGACAAATTGCAGCTTCAATGTCTCCCTTAATTTTCTTCAATCGGCATTTTCTTACAAGCATAAGTATTGTTGCTACTACTTTTATCAGTTCTATTGCCCGTCTAAAAAGTATTCATAAAAATTATGTTTTTTATCGTAAATCACTGCAAACGAAGTGTGTTTCTTAGTATCTTGAGACTACGTTTACTTATATTAGGTCTCTTCGGATTTGGTTACATACTAAGATTTTTATGTCCGAGTGACTTGTTTAAGTATGTATTTTAAATTTGTATATAAGCTTTGTTATAATAATAAAATTCAAAATTTACTGTAAATTAGTTGTCAATTTACATTTATAATATACAATATAATATATATAAATAAATGTACTTCTTCATGTATATAGAAGGAGCATATGTAAGATAACTCATAATGATCAATCTTCTTAAATTTTCAAGTAATGCAAAGAAAAGGGTACGGTTTGTGCTTTATTGTTCCCTAAAAATTTGATATTCTTAAAAAAAGTTATGAAATTGGCTTTAACAAGAGTTGCGTAGAATATCATAAATTATCAAAGAATATGGAATGGAGGAGGAATTTGTGGAAATATGACGTCATTAATTTGGTGCATTTCTTAGTTAAATGCAAAAAAGCCTCTGAATGACTCATTTGTGTGCTTATTTTCCTTTAGAGAATAGTCTGCCACCGTCGCCCACTTCAGTTTTTGGATATATTATGTAAACTGCTTTGAAAAATCACATACCTCATATCTCAAAGTCTTTCTGGGCGACGGTTGCAGAGTATGTTTTCTGAAAGAAAACTTCCCCTGAAAATTGATGTCTTCTGCAACAAGAAATTACGAGAAAAAGCAAAAGTTATTGATGTCACAGTTAAGATTTTGTGTATTCTTACTGCATGGAATTCCTATGAATCAGACAGAATTAATTTTAATTTCTTATATCACTTTCATGAAAAGTACAGGGTTTAATTTGTATTGAAAATGTACCTTGTTCTTTGTAAACATAGCACGAATACGAACCCCAGGAAATTCTGGAGGTAGGAAGAGTTATAATCCCCCGTTGACCTCTCTCTTCCGCCGTGCTCCCTTTATTTGATCAAGTAGACGGACCATTCAGAAGTCAAATTAAGTATAAAAACAAAGGTCGAACTATTGGTGTAAAACACGTTAGCCAAAATACAACTGAGTATTTCAAATAAATCACACTCGCTAATTAGGTAATTATAACGTCTAAAAATTTACAAGAAACTCTATTTAAATATGTTGTTTAAGTTGCTAACATCATTGTATGCGTAAGTAGTTAAAATAATTAATCAGACTCAGACCAAGTTCTTGAATGGGTTGGGAGACATAATCTTATAATATATGTAGGTCTCTAAAGTCCGATGGTCACGCCAAAGTCCGATGGTCTGCGGCAAACCCCGATGGTTCGACACGCCAAAGTCCGATGTTGCAGAAACAATTAACGTTTATGACGTCATAGTACTACTGCGCAAAAATGCGATGCCGCCCCATGCCAAGGCCCGATTGATTAAAATAAATACAAATAAATATTAAATTAAAAGACTAACCCTAATCTTTTGGATATAGGTGCGAGACTAACACTTATCAGTCGAAAAATGTGTAACAACCATAAACTTAGTATCTTGGGTGGGTGCAGGACTAATCCAAATCGAAGAAACACATTGGTGTTCAAGAACTAACCCAATCAGTCGAATGGTGTACATGTACAAGGACTAACCCTACAATAAGCAAAATAAGTAAAATTGTCAGCGAGACAAATACTATAAATCAATAGATTTTGAATGCAGTACAACGTCATGATGTCGGACTATTGTGACTTCATAAACGTTGATTTTTCCTTCGCACCATCGGACTTTGTCGTGTCAGACCATCGCATTTTAGCGTCGCTTGTCTCACAGGAAACGAGCCATCGGACTTTGGCGTGAACATCGGACTTTGGGATCCGTAAAGACAGCGAGCCATCGGGGTTTGGCGCATGCCATCGGGGTTTGGCGAGACCATCGGACTTTGGCGTCACCATCGCACTTTAGAGTCTTACATATATACATGCAGATGATAGCAGAATATTAATTTATAAATAACTAAACTTGAAAACTTTGTAAGTCTTAATTGTCTCTAGTCATTAAAACATACAAAAATAAATTTTAATATAACAGACATTTGAGACTGTGGAGTCTTCTATTTCAAGTTCACTGGGACAAATCGAGTGAAAATATAAATGGATATTACTATTTATTGTTAATTAAAAATTATAGAAAATTATATAATATATGAATGTCGAGAACAATGCGAAGTCGGGTGTTTTCTACTTATCATATAGACGTTTTTTTTTAAAAAAAAAAAAAAAAAAAAGACAGGTCGTTTAATAAAAAAGCATAATGAGTTCCCCTTAGAATTTCAACAGTTTATTTTAATTCAATGTTGTTGTTTTTTGTTGTTTGTTTTGGTTTGTTATTTAAAAAAAAAATTAATTTTTTGTTTTTAAGAACTTGGAGTATGTTATTTTACGTTTCATTCGATTTTTTTTACTCAGATGGAGACTTTTTCTCAGCAATCAGGGTCACTAAGCATTATTGACTGCATTTTAAGAACGCGTACCGTGACACCTCGGGTTAAAGGTTCAATGAACCCGCAAATTTTTACTTTGTAGTATGGAGTGCTTGAATGGTGAAGGAAGAGTTGCCATATATTTTTTAGCGACTTTGGTCGAATGGAACGTTAAACAATATACAATTATTTTCCATTTCATATTTAACCCAACATTCAATGGAATTCATAATAGAAATCAAATTCTGTTTTCACTTGAAAATCCGAAGCTCCCTTTATTTAGAAAGTTTTACTGTGATTGATTTTATGTCTTTCATTTCTATTATCTTGAGTAATAATGTGTTCAGCGGAACTGTAGTTGAAAGAAAAATAAACTGGAATACTGAAAAGGATTTTATTTTTTTTCTTTTGGTATTATCTGTAGAAAACGCAGGATGTAGATTTCAACTTATAATGCGTGTCCGGTCACCACTGACCAGAGAATGCTTATTCCTGATTCCAGTGTCCATGTTTATGCACTATTCATTGATTTGTGTTGTTGTTTCTTCATCTAAAAGTAATCATGTATATTTTTTATTTAATCAAAAGTTGAATATTTTTCCTTTTGCTATACAGTGTTTGTGTTGGTGTCATTGAGTGCGAGATTCCGATAAACTTGAAGGGCATCTCTGGCTTGTATCACATTCAAATCTTCATATGCATGGTTTTCAAGATGGCCGCCAGATGATGATCTTTGGGAACCCACGCTGTCACTGACCTCGTAGGAAGCCTGGCTATTTCTTTTGTTGTTCTCTTTCTTCCTACAGTGAATAATGCCTTCCTTATTTTATTTTTTTTTATCTTTAATTGTGTAAGAAACATACAAAAACAAAAGGAAACATATACCTTTTCTACTTTTTTCCAATATGCCTTAACAGTACACAGGCAACTTAGCCACATATGATTCTCATATGAGTATCATATGATTCTCATATGATTGGTTTCATATGAGAATCATAGAAAAAGGGCATCATATGTGAATCATATGAAGCAAATCATATGATTTACATATGATCCACATATGTGAATCATATGAAAATAACTACATATGATTTTCAAATGAATGATTCAAGTGTGTTTCAAGCCATTTACATATGAGAATCATATGAAAAGGGTATCATATGTAAATCATATGAAACACTTATGTGTGTTTCAAGCCATTTACATATGAGAATCATATGAAAAGGGCATCATATGTAAATCATATGAAACACTTATGTGTGTTCTCTTTCAATATTTTTCACATTCTTGTACACATTTAAAAATCAGATATTTCTGCTTTAGATGAAAATTCATTACAATACAATGATCTATCTTCATTGGTTACATATTTTGAAATATCTTATAATGCTTACACAACTTTTTTGATTAAGTTATTTTCATCAAGAGAAATAACTTATTTTTCACAGTGTACATTCTAAACAAGAGAATATACAAACAAGTCAGTAGCATTTGTCGATACATGTATTTAACATATTCTAAAATGAGTACAAATTATAAAATTTCAGCAAAATGATTAAGAAGTTAAATATGTATACATGTACAAATGATTATCATGATTAGGTCATGTACTTGTATAAAAATACCATATGACATGAAAGTGTCCACAGCAAAATTGAAACATCAGCAATAACATTTGTCATGTATTCTCTATTATAAATTTATGAAAAATCAAGTTATTTGATATTCTAGCATACAAATAAGAATGGGAAATCTTTACAGGTCAAATTCAGACAAGATGTTGTACATCCTCCACATTTCATAATTATTCCATATATTTCCAGGTTCTTTTTCTTTCTGTATCTTTTCAATATTTTCAGTTGTCCTTCCTCTGATCTGACCATTTTGAAAATCTCTTTGAACTGTACCAAAAATGCAAATCCACCAGTTCTCCCCTTCCTAAACAATTTCTTTGTGGCACAGAATGGTCTCTACAAAAATTTCAAAAATAAAAACAAAATAATTCTTAAATTACAAAATCAATTCTACAAGTTATATTAAAGTAACTTATCATCAGCAAACAAATGTATTCCCAATTCACCGACACAGATACATGTATAATACGAGATAAAACTAATATTATATATGTTATACTAGGTGTTTTGTGAAATCCTATGATATAATTTGCAAGACACTGTTGGAAGATATGCTTCATAATAAAATTATAAAAAGCATTTCTTTTATTTTGACAATCGAATTGAATTTTGCAAGACAATTACACCATTGGAAGATATGCTTCATATTAAAATCATAAAAAAGCTATTTTTTTTTTATTTTTGTCAATTGAATTTGGAATGTTTAAATAGTATTATTGCCAAAAATTAAGAAGATTCTTACACAAATATATTACTTTTGGACAAAAAATTACAGACAAGTAGAAACTTTGTTGGGAAGAATATAAGAAAGTCTGTTAAATAGTGTGTAGTTACCTTAACTTTGAAACAAGCCTAGGATCTTTGGATTTTTTGTTATGAGGGGCTGACTGTATATTGAACCTGTAAAACCAATATTAACACATTAGATATTTTCTAAGCATAACTAAAATTTAAACAACAAAAAAGAGAGAATATACAAGTTTGTAGGTTCTCAATAGTCTTAAATATCTATTAGTATTGGATTCTTTTTTTATAAATGTCAGTCAATGAATACATAGATGTAAATATTCAATGGATTAGCTATCTGATGTACTTTCAACACATACACATGCATATGTGTTACAGTGTACCTTGAAAGTTGCCACTGTTATTATAAATTTTTTGCTGAAATTCAAAAATTCAATTTACCCCCTGAAGTTATTGCTTTTAAAGCCAGCATATTCTATTCACACTTACCATATTTTAAAAGTGCATTGGATTAAAATTGTTTCAAAATGTAGAATACAACTTCTATATTATTGAGTTGAATTTATTTTTGATGAAGCCATGCAAACAATGTAGAATTATAAAGGAACAAAAAGAAATATTTTGTCATACAGGAGTCATTACAGATGTACACTTTGATTTTTTATTGCAAGTATTTCTTTTTACCTTTAATATTGTGATGATGCAATCGTCTGTCACAATCAGCTTTTGGATCAATCGCCAGTCTTATCAGCTTTGGGCTTCTTGGGACTTAATAAAAAAGCAGCACGGTGACACTGAACTCAAGTTGTTGAATGCATCTATAGGCCATAAAAACAAACATTTGTCATTACGTTGATGAAAGAATCGACTTGATAACGATCTCAACATACAAAAACGCCAAACTGCTATACAGGGTTTCTACTTTCACTTTCAAATCAGTACGTAACAAAAGTCAAAACAAAAAGAAAACAAAGTAATGCCTTTAGCCTAACATGTAAATTGTAATGTTTAGGCCTACATCCATTCAGAAACAAATTTATCCAAAATTACTTACAGATCACTAGGGCCTAACGTTATGTAGGTTTACGAAATGCATTAATTCAACAATTACAAGTGTTGAGAGTATTACAGAGATGAGTTCATACGAACCTGTAACCGTAATGAAACTATATTTAAACAATATAAATTAAACGTCTTTAAAAAATTGTTAGGAGATTACTTACTTTTTCCAACAACCAGCACTTCTGCTGCAGCAGTGACGTCAAACATGACGTACACTTTCATCTGATAGAAGTCAAAACCGGTCCGGGAAAAATACGGATTTTTTTTTATTTTACTCAAGTAATAAACCCAAACCCAAAAGATTTGAAATAAAAAGCAAATTAATTTATTCTTTATCAATTTTGTCTGGGGTATGCATTATTACAGAAAAAGAAAATTGTGAAAGGTTTTTTTTATATAAGGGAAAGGGGGGAGGGGGTGTTAAACAGAGTAAAACTTAACATAAGTTATTGCTAACAAATTCTTTTGAAATTGATGTACATTTGAATTACTATTGAGATATATTATTGAAATTGCAATTTTACTTGAGTATACCAAGGGCAAATTAGTGAATACTGTTTTATATGATTCTCATATGATCACTGTGTCATATGATTCTCATATGATTACTGTCAAAATATTCATATGATTTTTACCTGAGTATAACAAGGGCAAATTAGTGAATATGGTTTCATATGATTCTCATATGATCAGTTTCATATGATTCTCATATGACCACTGCCAAAATATACATATGATTCTCATATGTAGGACCTTTCATATGAGAATCATATGTATATTACTTCATATGTTTCACATATGTATGATCATATGATTCTCATATGATTGGCCACATATGATTCTCATATGATTGTATATACATATGATTCTCATATGATCCACATATGATCTTCATATGAAAGGCAATGCATATGTGGATCATATGTGGCTAAATTGCCTATGTATGTTAAAGTATGTACAAAACTTTACAATTCAAATACCGTAAATCTGGATATTTTTTCGTCGATTTTATTTTGCGAATTCGGGTCAAAATAGTGTTGATTAATTTTTACGTTTCAAATTTTTGCGAATGACCACTGTTTTGTTTACATTTTCTTATTGGTATTTTATTTTGAAGAAAAATATTTTTGCGAATGTAATAAACTTGCAAATTTGCCAAAAATTTATCTACAGCAAACATTTCCAGATTTACGGTAAGCAGTGACTTTATTATCGATACATTTTTGGTGATGCATTCATTGTACAAAATATTTTTTCTTTAAAAAGTCTTCTTGTTTTTTTTCCTATCTTGTGAGAATATTATTAAATCAGTAAATGTATTTAAAATGACCACGAATTTCTTAAATTAAAAATATATTTCAGGTATCTATTAGCTACCAAGATTTAACATACTATTCTTCATGTATACGTATTGTAAATGTAATACATAACACAACTAGTTATAAAATGTAAAAGGTTTTTGAACTCAAAAAATCTATGAAACAATTCTATGATATTTGAAAAGAGCACATAACACGGGCCAGTGAATATTCAAGAGGTGAAATCAGGTGTCTAGATGAAGAAAGCATTCCCTTATGATAGATCACACCCGTCCGGGGTCCTATTGATCAGATTGACATAACTTTTCACAATCAAATTTGATAAAGACAAAGGCCTAAATATAAATATGAAACAAGTCAACCAAAATCGAGTTTCATGATGATGGGCTATATTTGCAAAGGAAGTCACTATAGCTACAACGGAATGTACAAAATACTGATTTAAAACGAGGTTGTTGAAATCATTGTAACTTCAAATTTTATGCGAGTAGCATGATTCGCTATAAAAATTAACAATACTCAAAGCAAACACTTGAATAGTATAAAAAAAAGGGTAGAGATACAAAGACAGAAACATATGACAGTGGAATATTATTTCATAAATGAAAAAAAAGTTGACAATGGAAAAGCTTAAATTATCTCGTTTGTCCTATAATTAAGTTTATTGTTTGCCTTTTTTATATTTTATAGTCCGTAAAAAAAATTAACTAAAAACAGATGTGACAGACTCTGGTATTTCTTTTTTAAAAGTTCACTTCAATACAGTATATATCGAGTCAATCTAATAAGAATTAGATGTCCCGAATTCGCTACCGCTTCTCAAACATCTAACAACATCCCATTCGGAGTCACGTCAGAGCGACCTTTTGATTAGCCAATGAAAATGTTGCCTCAGAATTCTTGGCTTATAGTTCGGATGGGTTCTTCTTTTCACTGCCCAACCTAAACGTCCGAGGAGTTTCGTAGTAAACAGATTATGCAATGCAAACGCTGTGTTATGTATGAATGTGACTTGCTGGATATCTTGTATAGTTTGTG